CCTTTGGGCCAGTGAAGTGCGTCTAGAGAGTGAGGCCCCGGAAGCCTGGAACCACATTCAGTCCCCTAGCACTCTGCCCAGTCTCAAGTTGGTTGCATTTAATAACATTTCTTTTTGGATAATGAACAATTATATTTAATTGAAGTATATTTAAATAGTTTTATATTGTTGAATGAATATTACTTGTATAATACTTTTGTGCCTAAAAAAAGAACTAATGTAAGTTGGCTTAATGACTCAGCGACCGTTTGGTTATGCTGTAAGTGATGGCATGCTCAAGGTATTAAAGTTATCCTGACTATACTGTTTCCAAATTAGTCAGATTGTTTATATTTTTCTGAAAAAATTTTGCTCAGAAAACGTCTCTTGTCACTTCTTAAGATAGTGAAAACATTCTACTTGAAATTAAGAAGTAGTATTCAACTAAATTCTAAAAATAGTTTTCTTTAGAGTTATGCATCTTTATAAATCTAAAATACATGCTAAACTGAGCAGTTCAATAGAGATACAGATGGAGTAAATTTTGTGGAAGGAAAGAGGCCCGTGCTTAAGCGGTAGCTGGAGTGATGAGGTTAGCTAGAAGCTGTCATTCAAAGAGCTATCTCTATGTCATCGACAAGAATAGCTGTGTGGTGTGAGAACTTCAGAGAAAGAAACGCTGGGTAGTAAGTTTGGAAAGCTGACCTACTTACCTGTCTGATTCTGTATCAGAAACTCAGTAACAAAGCTGCAGAGAAGGACTGGGGAATGAGTTAATCCAGTTGAGATCCATTTATCTCAGAAACTTCCTGATCGATAAGGCGCTGAGCAAAGCAATAGGCAGACTAAAACCTTATACCATAATAGATCGTAAAACAAAGGAGGGGAAAGAATGTTCGTTCCTTAAGGGCACGTACTGGGGTATGTTTTTGTATCCCCTGCAGCACATAGCATTTTATCCACTGTTATACCTTCACACAATAGGCTGTCGCTAATTATTTGCTGAATGTAAATATGAAACAGACTTAGTCTTTAAGGTAAATCATCTCAGCTATGGAAACGCAGATTTACAGTATCACAGATTCTGAAGCTGAACAAAGAGAGTTCATGAGGTTTCCTTATTCGCATATTGCAAGGGGGTTATGAAATTAGGAGAGGGGTGGAAGGCATGAGCACGGAAGTGGGAAAACCAGAATCTGTTCAGGAAGTAAGGAGCAGCCCCGGCTGTCTGCAGCATCAGATATGTGCAGAGGAATGGAGGGAAATGTCAGCTAATGTATTGTTTTATGCAAATTAAGGATGACAGTTACCCCTTCTGTCTGTGCATTACTCCAAAATAACATGAAGAAGCTCCAGATGGTCGTAATGACTGCCAGGGATGCAGTCTGCCTCTATATACTCCGTCTACCTGCTGACCTTATTTAAGTAGCCATATGGACCTCTTACAGCTAAAATATATTAACTAAATGGTCTATTTCCTCATCCCCCAGTAATTACTACAGATTTTCAAATGTCATGGACATTTTACTCAATATTTGGGTGGTAGGGAAATTTTATAATAATTTCTCTACATGGCATAAATCCTTCGTAATAAGAAATAGTCATTGCAAAGTTTGTACTAGATGATTGCTCAGGTGCATTCAAGCTCCAGTACTCAATAATGTGGGCTGAATATCATCTGACCATCTCGACATTCACGCCCACCAGATATGACATTTGGGGATATCCATCCCAGCCAGAACCCAGAATGCTACAGGAGATATCACCCCATAGCTTGCACTACCTAGTGCTGTGATTTTCAACCATGGCATCACATGAGGATTACTTGAAGAACTTTAAAAATACCTTAATGCCTGGACTCCACCCTAGATATGACCTCTCAGGATGTCAGTCCCAGCCAGAACCCAGGTGATGCTAACGTGCAGCCACACCTGAGAACCATTACTTAGGCCAATCTCACACAAGGGTGGCTTACACTACCCCCAGACTGTGTCTCCACCTTACCAACTTCTTCAAGTCAAGGTCCTCTGTGTCTGAGTGTTTGTGTCCCCCTCAAAATTCATTTGTTGAAATCTTATTACCCAAAAGTTATGGTCTTAGTGGGTGGGAAGTGCTTAAGTTATGAGGGTGGAACCCTTTTGAATGGGATTAGTGTCTTATAAAAGAGGCTCCAGAGAGATCCTTAGGCCCTTCCACCATGTGAAGATACACTGAGAAGTCTGTGACCAGAAGAGGGCCCTCACTCAACCATACTGGCACCCCAGTCTCAGACTTCCAGCCTCCAGGATTGTGAGCAATACATTTCATCTGTTTATAAGCTACTCAGTCTGTAGTCATTTGTTATAGCAGCTGAACAGTGTTATACCTGGAGCACACTTTTCAAGCATCCTCAGGCACTTTCAGGAGAGCCATTTATTCACATAATTATGAGATTCCAAATCATTTTTATCTTCTCAAGTTCCCTGAGGACCACTCCAAGATAATATTTTGCTAGCTTTATTTAGCATGTGCAAGATACACAATTTATTTTAAAACAACATAACATTTAGAGGTTTTCACTAATTTAGATGAGCTTTTCCCAAGTCATGCCAAATCAGTGAGGCTGTATAGCATTTTTGTAGAGGAAATGGAATCTTTTTAACAAAGTTATTTAAGAAGATATTTGTGATGGTCTAAAATGAAAAATGACTCTTAAAAACACGGATAACTCAGAGCAGAATTTCATTTCTGTGTAATATGGTTGAGTAGGTTATTCAGATGAATCATCCTGCTTAGAACAACCAAAAATTCCAAATAAAATATATATTTTCTTAAAGCCTTGAGGAGCACACAAAATCCTAAGGATTAGGACAAAAAAATCTAAGTGAAAGGAGAAAGGTGGGTGGAGCACTGAAGCTCATTTACCCCAAGGGCATTCGCCAAACCCAGGAACTTTCCCTTTGGTCTTGTTGGTCTCCAAGGACATGGGACAAAGAAGTCACAACCCCAGACATGCCCAAGGTGGAAAGACTCTACTTGTATAAAGTGCTACAGCTTCAAAGGAAATGGCAAACCAAAAGAATGCCTACCTCACTCCCCATTATCAGGAGACTGAAGAAAAAGACAGAAAATGCCTTGGAATCTCTGACAGCATGTGACTACAAGCCAGCCCCACTGTAAAGCTGCAGCCCAGATTTATATTACATAAAGGAATAAAAAGTCTGAATAGTCCTATAATCATTTAAAGAAAATCTTCCACACAAAGAAAACTCCGGGCCCAGATATTTTCACTGGCAATTTCTACCAGTTACAGAAGACTACTTTTCCGAAGCGTATTTAAACAAAATAGTAAGTGTCCAGGAAATTAATTTCAGAAAAATGACATGAGAGAAATGCCCTATCTACACAATTTCAATAAAATATTTCTCTAATTCATAAGTGTTTTTTGGGGCCGGCCCCATGGCCAAGTGTTTTAAGTTTGCGCACTCCGCTTCGGTGGCCCAGGGTTTCGCTGGTTCGAATCCTGGGTGTGGACCTGGCACTGCTCATCAGGCCATGCTAAGGCAGCATCCCACATGCCACAACTAGAAGGACCCACAACTAAAAATAAATAAATAAATATATATATATATATATATATATATATATATATATATATATACACAACTATGTACCAGGGGGCTTTGGGGAGATAAAAGGAAAAATAAAATCTTTAAAAATACATATATATATATTTCTCTCATTCATATGATCTTCAGCAATGCTAAAATTTGCTAATTTCATTAACCTAAGCAATTTTGTAATTATTCAAAATATAGTGAAAGATATTTCTTCTCTAATTCTATCTAGTCTTCTATTTTGCTCACTTTTTTTTTTTAAAGATTGGCCCTGAGCTAACATCTGTTGCCAATATTTTTTTTTTCCTTCTTCTCCCCAAAGCCCCCAAGTATATAACTGTATATTCTAGTTGCAGGTCCATTCTAGTTGTGCTATGTGGGACACCACCTCAGCATGGCTTGATGAGCAGAGCCAGGTCCACGCCCAGGATCTAAACTGGGAAAACCCTGGGCCGCCAAAGCAGAGCATGTGAACTTAACCACTCGACCATGGGGTTGGTCCCTTGCTCACTATATGGATTGCCATTGGCATAATCATGTTATATAATGTTTGAGCATTTCAGAAAGCATTGCAAAACCTACAAAATATCAGTTGATAGTTTCCTTAAGGGACTCAAAATCTCAGTACATCCATGATTGCATAATGATAAGTCCTTTGATCACAATAAAACAATGACTTAATTAAGATTAAACATTTTAATAGTCATCATTTTCAAATTATTCTCTCCTGTTGGTAATAAAAATTATTTAGGTCAACTTTTCTTTGTCTTATCCAGTAGAAATTTTAGATTATGGGCTTCCTGATTACATCGAAGTATAAAAAATTATGCTGATTCATAATTCTGGGTTGCTTACTGACACTGTGCAGTTAATGCTATTTAGCACATTGTCATTTTTTCTATTAATTACATCGTGCTTTAATATTTGAGCTAAAGATATTTTTGTACCTAATTATCTACATATAATAAATAATGGCTATATATAAATAATGACTATATAAATAATAACTAAATAAATATGACTATAGGCTCTTAGGGAGCCAGGTGGAACTGTTCAATGAAGGCCCCTAATAAAATATGACAAGTACTATTGCAATAAGGAATATGTCTAAAATTAAGATTTTATGTCTGGTGAGGCAAAGTTCCACAAATGGGTCACTTTTTGAAGGCCAAAGATAAAGAAAAATGGCCAATACAAGATTATACCTCAGGACTCTAGGTCAAGAGACTATAGGCAGAGGACCTATAGATCTGAGGTCAACAAACTACAGCCCACAAATTTGCCTTCTGTTTGTTTTTGTAAATAAAGTTTTATTGGAACACAGATGTGCCCATTGTTTACATATTGTCTATGGCTGCTATTGTGCTATGACAACAAATTTGAGTAGTTGTGACAGAAATCATATCTTTTTCTTGACATTTACAGAAAAAGTTTGCCAACCTGTGCATAGAGGATCATTCTTCTATCACCTAGGAGATGAGGCCTCCGAGAGGAAGAAAATGAGGAAAACAACTGCATAACAAAGAAAATGGTAAATCAAGGTTGAGCTTCCAATAGCAAGAAAGTGGTTGCAAGGAGATGGAGAGAAGATGAAAGACTCAGGAATGAGGCCTTCAACTATCTCAGGCCTCCCCGCTCAGTCTCTGATGAAGTCTTCTCTGAGCCTGAAGACAATTAGGAACTCTCTTAGTAGTTGAAGCTTCTAAATGAAATTAGCTTAAAAGCTAATGTTTTATTAAATTGCCTCAGATTTGGTCATTTGTTCAGTGAAATATAGGGAGATTGGTTCCACTTGATTATGTGGCAGATACTGTGCTAAGCACTTCATAGATATGTTAATTCAATTAGTCTTTACAATAGCTCTATGAAGTCGATATTATTCCCACTTAATGGTTTGGAAACTAGCTAGTAAATGAGCCAAATTTAAAAACCAACCAGATCTGTTTGACCTTAGAGCCTTTTAAAAAATTTTTGCAAGATTGCCACATGGAGGTAAGTTTTAGCTGTCTTGGTTGCTTAGGATATGATACATATTTGATGCCAAGGTCAGATATTGTGACAGTGCCCTCATCACATCTGTGCATTTTAAGTTTTCACTTTAATGAACAGGAATAGGCAATGTAATTCTGCCTATTATGTGCATGAATGCATACATACACACATACAAATAAGCCTTTAATAAGTGCCTTTCTGTGGTGAGAGGACGAAAGAAGGGCATTTTAGTAAGGATGGCATATTTAATGTCCTGGGTACAGAGAAGGATTGTTGCTGTCAGTAGAGCGAAGAGCAGAGATGCTGAGTAGAGCAGTAATGAATGGAAATGAGAGGATAAGCCATTAGTAGAAAGTCATAAATCCATTACTGGAAGTTTAATGTAATTTAAGAGAGACAAATGCTTCAAAATTCTAAGGATGGGAGGAAGATGATTTTGTAGCTGTGATGTATCAGTCAGGGTCCAATCAGGAGACAGAAACCACACAATAAGTTGAACCGGGAAGGTTTGATATAAAAAATTATGTACTATAACAGAGGATTGGACTTAAGAGGGATCAGCTGGCTATCAAGGTCTGGGACTGACTTCTGCCCTACTTGCAATCTAGTAAATTAGCCTGTTATTGTTTCATGGATGCTGGCAGAAGACATGAAACTCTTGGATCAGAGACAAAGGACTTTATTACTCAAGGCACAGAGAGAAGTGTGATTATCATGTTTGGGTCATTCCCTTTGCCCCTCAAGTGCCACATGAAGGATCCTAGTTGGGGAATCCACTGAGCTTGGGGAACCCTCTGCTTTTATAGTAAGTAGTAGGCAACCCTGCTCTTTGCCCTCAAGGTTTCTCACTACACACAACTCTGAGAAGTGGCAGGATGCTCAGGGACTGTAGCAGATTGCCTCTCCCCTTCCTCTTGCAATGTCTCCAGCACTTAACATGATGCCAGTTGGAAAAGGAGAAAAAGGCCCATCTCTACTTTCACAGAGCAGGTCATGAAAATTTGATTTGGAGATGAGAAGGAATAAATTAGAAACTGGCATATATGACTATCAGTAGTACCAGGCACAGCTGAATTAAGATATGGTTTGAAAATATAGATAAAAGGAAGAGGTAATTCGATGCATTTTAACAAATCTGTGCTTGTGTGTGTGTGGTGTGTGTGTGTGTGTGTGTGTGTAGTCTCCACTGTGTGCTGAGAGCTAAGAATCTAAAAGACATTGTCCCTAACCTTTTAGGAAACTTAAGAAGCTCACAGGCTGGTGGGGCACAGACAACTAACCATAAAATAATGTCCTAAGCAGTCTTTTATATCCATGATTTCCTTTAAAAGGGAAAAAGATATAACTTACAGTGAAAGAAATAAAACACAGAAAAATTATATGCTGTGTGCTTCTGAATATTTCCATTTATTTGAAATTCAAAAAGAGGCAACACTAATCTATGGTAACAGAGGTCAGAATAGTTATTAACTTTAGAGGAGTGATGACTAGAAGCGGACAAGAGTATGTTTTGCGGTGATGGGATGTTAGACATCTTGATCAAGCAGTGGTGAGATAGGTGTATAAATATGTAAAAATGTACACTTAAAATTCGTGCACTGAATTTAAGCTATATCTCAATATTAAAAATAAATGTGTAGCACCTAATTTTCTTCTTCCATGATCTTGATTCCCTGGCCCACCCCCAATTAAACTTCAGATTCAGAAATTCAACAGAAACATGGAGGTAAATCTCATGTTGCCAACTAGAGGTTGATTGGGTGGGGGAAAGGGGTGTTGTCTTCCTTTCCTGCGTGAACCCACAGTAACAGTGAAAACCTATCTGGCAATCTGAGACTGTGTCATACCAGCCTATGGACCCTTCCCTGGAGAAATGAAAAAAATGTGCTCAATAAATAATGGAAGAAAAAGGAAAAGAAAGAAAAGAAAATGGCCAAGAAAAAAAAGGTTTACAGGGGATATCATGGAGTTGAAGAAAAAAGGGGAAAATAAAGAATAGGGAACAAAATAGCAAGCTTTACATGGCTTGTGAAAGTAAAACCAACAGCCCTTGAAAAAGGCACATTGTTTACCAATAATGTCAGCCCAAAGTACCATCTGATTTTGTTGCTATGACAATTTAAAACTAGGTAAGAGAACCAGAATGACCCAGTGTAGAATGAATCTGAATAAAAACATAGATCGTATTTAAATAATTTAAAATTTATTTTTAGAAAATCATTTGCCTTCCCTGATAATGGAATCTGAAGCCATTAGGTGGAGCATAGCAAGGAGGGCATCTGCAGTGAAGTTGAGAGAAGCCATGGTGGCCCAGTGTGAGACACTGGAGTCCATGTGGGATGAGGAGGGTGTCCTATGGAGAAGAGGGTGGCCTGGGGTAGGGTGTCAGACCCCAAGCATGGGGTGGGGGGAGCACTGGGGGAGCAGCCCGGCATGGGCTGTCAGAGCCTGAGTGGAGTGAGGGAGATATCCACACCAGAGCGCAGCCTAACACTAGAAAGTCAGAGCCTGAGCAGCCTGAGGAAGGTATCCACCAGGGGGACAGTCTGGAAAGGGGAGTCAGAGGTCAGCAGCGACGGGCAGGCATCTGGGCAGCGCAGGAGTGGAGGCACAGATTGGACAGTGTTTGCATACAAGGCTGTGATGTGATTTATAATAAGAAATATATGTTTGGTCTTCATCCCTGTTTCTGTCAAAGAGCTCCTAAAACCCTTGCAATTTCCTAAGCAGAGAAAGCAACAAACATGCCTTTTTTTTATGTGAATGAGGTGACTTTTGGAAAGCACCTGAGGATGGGGGCTGGCTGCCAGTGGGGCCGTCCATGTGATTCGAGGGTTGGAAATCTCAGCCCCACCGGCCTGACCTCCAGGAAGGGAAGAGGGGCTGGAGATTGAATCAATCACCAATGGTCAATGATTTAATCAATCATCCCTGTATAATAAAGCCTTTATGAAAACCAGAAAGGACAGGCATTTGGAGAGCTTTCAGGTTGGTGAACACATGGAGATTTGGAGAGAGTGGCAGGCTCAGAGAGAGCGTGGAAGCCCTGAGCTCTTTCCCCAAATCGAAGTTTATGCATCTCTTCCATCTGGCTGTTCCTGAGTTATATCCTTTTATAATAAACTGCTGATCTGGTAAGTAACATGTTTCTATAAGCCACTTTAGCGAATTAATCAAAGCCAAGGAGGGAGTTGTTGGAACCGGCGATCTATAGCCAATGGGTCAGAAACACAGGCTGGCCATACCTGGGCTTGCGACTGGAGTCTGAAGTGGGGCAGGTGGGTGAGGGGCTGTCTTGTGGGACTGAGCCCTTAATCTGTGGGACCTGACGGTATCTCCGGAAAAACAGTGTCAGAATTGAGTTGAATTGTAGGACGCCCAACTGTTGTCGGAAAATTGCTTGGTGGTGTGGAAAATCCCTCAGACATCAGAACTGGTCCCAGAACTGTTAAAGGAGATTGACCAAATTAGTAATATATTAAAGATAAGAAAAGACAAGATTCTCACTATTGAAAAAGGGAGTTATAAATACAGAAAAGAAAGAAATTGTATTGAACCCTGTGGTATTGAACTGGGATTGGACATATCAGTGAAAACCCACAGTTTTAAAGATAGATAGATAGATACAGACAGACAGATAGGACAGACAGACAGACAGACAAATATTCCCTAGCTCTGCCCACAGAAAGAGTCTGGGAATAACAGTGATCACACCTCGTGTCCAGATCTTGGCTTCTAAATACCATTTTCTATTAAAAGGAATTAAAGATCCTTGGAGAAATGGTTGGTTCCAGAGTTGGGGCAGGAAAAATACGAGGTGAACCTGGAACATCTTATTGTGCCAGAAAACAAGGTTGTACTCAAAGAATGATGGAGACACGACAAAAGGACACAGAAGCCAGCTGTAAGGGGCTTCCACTGGCCAAACTGGAGCCAAATTTAAGCATAAAAATAAACAAGAGTAATGAACTACCACCTTTTGAATAAAACAGGAGCCCATACAGATAAAAATAAATAAGTAAGCTGAAAGTTTGACGAGTAACAAGATAGTCACATAGTTTTAACGTATCTCCCCAAATATTCATTTGTTACAAAGGGCAAAGAGTAACTACAGTTGAGAAGGCTGACAGACACCACTGTAGTCAGGCAGTCAAAGCAAACATCATCAATAACGGGACAAATCAAATGATACCGACCCTGATATCAGTTTCCCCACATTAAACCCAGCATATATGGGGTTAAACCAAAACACTCATTCCCTGCTTACTCTGGCTTCCTGGCTCCAGAATCCACTATCCTCCATGGAGACAGACACTGTCAAGGACAAGCACCTGGACTCTCTCCAACCCGCAAAGAGATACTGGCTGGTGGGAAAGCTGCTGACCAGCAAGGTCACAGGCTCCCTCCTCTCTGCAAACAGTCTCAAGGCCAAAGACAGGCTGGTGGGAAAGCTCCAACCAGCAAGGCCACATGCTCCCCCTCCCCTACCTAAAACCCCAAATAAAAACCCTTCCCTTTTAGCTTTTCAGGGAGTTTGGGATTTCAGCATTAGCTGCCCTCTCTCCTTGCTCAGCGCTGTGCAAAAATAAAATTCCTACTTTCTTCCACTACACCTGGTGTCAGAGATTGGCTTGCTGCGCAACGGGTGAGCGAACTCACTTCAGGTTCCGTAACAAAAAATCTTTACCACATGATAGGACGTGATGAGAAGAATATAGCATCACTTCTGTGATATTCCTGCGAAAGATGCATAACCTGAATCTAATCAGGAGAAAATATCAGACAAACTAAAATTGAGGGTCATTCTATGAAATAAATAGCCTGGAATTTTCAACTGTGTTGAGGCATGAGACTTAAGGAAAGACTGAGTAACTGTACCAGATTCAGACTAAAGAAACGTGACAAACTAAAAGCAATGTATTATCCTGGAGTGAATTCTTTCACTGTAAAAGACGTTATAGAAACAACTGTCAAATCTTGAATGGTTCTGCGAGTTAGATGACAGTAGTGTATCAGTGTTAACTCCCTGATTTTTATGGTCGTGTTGTGGTTTTGTAGATAAGTGTCTTTGTGGGAATTACAAAGTATTCTGGGGTGAAGGGCCATCATGCTGGCAACTTACTCTCAAACAGTTCAGGAAAAAAAGTTACTTTTCTATAACTCTCTGATTGTTTCAAAGTTTGGTAAAATGGTGAAAAAAAATTAGTCCCATTTTTAGGTTTGAAACATCCTCTCTGTGTTCTAGCTTTCCTCCTTCCAGTTTTCCACAGAGCAAATTTCTTGCCTTCCTCAGATGCATAGGAAACATTAGTGCAATTGAAAATAATTGTCAACAAATAAATATTGTAAACTGCACATCTGATCTCAGAATTGCCAATGACAGCTTCTCCACATATTACTCCATCAATATGAGAGAGATTTTTATGAAAATGCTCCATATTTGTGATATTGCAAATGAAGCAGACAAAATTCAGCTTTCTATGTCTTCCTTTCAAGAAATTCTTAGAAGGGAATTGAGACCCTTCCCTATGGATAAGAGAGAAGAGAAAGTGAATGGAGGCGGGGAAGGAAATGCTGAAACCTGTGAAATGAACATTTTCATGAATTTAAGGTGATATTTACCTTAAAATATCTTGCTAGTGATGAGCCAAGTTGGAGGGAAAAGCTGATTTTTCAGGTAGTTACAATTTCCAGGGGTGAGGAAAAGTAAAAAGGAGACAGAGAAGGTGAAAAGCACAGAACTTAGGTTTAAACTTTGAGAAAAATCAAGAGAACCAGGAACAGGTTAATTTACGCTGACTTCTCCGTTTCCCAGCCTCTTCTGCCTTGCCCCTTCCAAATATGCCAGTATCCCTGACCTACACGAAACGCTCCATCCTTTCATTCTCTCCTGTGTTATTTTTGTTGGGTGTTGAGGCTGGCAGCAGCCACAGTTTGACTACAGGAAGTTTTTAATACCACTGAATCATGAGAGATTTATACCTCATTTAGAAGTCAGCGGGCAGACAGAAACTATTACATTTTCTTCTTTCATAAGTCTTTCTTTGAAAATATTGTTTTCGTGATTCTTTTAACCAAAGTACCCTACAAAAAATTGTTTTCATCCCTGAGTCATACCGCTCACAACCATCTCCACCTTTCTGTTATGCTCACATACTGTGAGATTGCAAATTACACAGAATGAGTTGCTTTCAGCAACATCGAAATCATTGCAGAGGAATTAGAAAAATAAAATATCTGAGTCTTAAGAGAAATCTAAAATACAGTGTATCTAAGCTCTACGTGTTAAGAGAAGAATTTCCTTTCTCTCCTCCTTTACAAATTTCTCTTATTTAGGGGAAATGTGGGAGACTTCATTTGAGAAATTCAGTATTTCTGA